TTTTGGTTTTCAATCCTTGGAGGAAACGTAAAGTTGAAAGTTAGAGCACTTTAGAAAACTTTATTATTTTGTCGTCTGGTTGATTTTTATTTGAAAACACAAAACTTTTTTTATTAATAAAAAATGTAGAGATTAACATCGTCACAAATAATAAACTCAGTTTTTGGTGAAAATGTGTAGTAGAATACAAAATCAGTGATTAACAAACTTACTATCGAAAAATTTAAACCGGCGGACAATATAACATCTTCGGAAACTAAGTCCTACTCAAAACATTCTTTACCAAAAATCAAAACGACCTAAAACTGATGGAATTGAAACCTGAATATGAAAACAATAGACACACAAATTAAAACCCAAAAATATCAAACATACCTAGTTATGTGTAAGTAACTAGCTCATGGCACTTTGCTAAATTCTACTAAGTTTTGTGACTATTATTGGTTCTGTGACTTCTGTCTAACCTTATGCCATGAAAATATTTCTCCACTTGAAAAACCAACAACTTAAGTCTAAGCCCATTATTGAAGACTGAAAAAAGAGAAGCCAAGCCCACTATTGAAATTCAACAATTAAGAAATGCTAACTGGAATATAAAAAGTTCAAAAGCCCACATCTATTCGGTTTCTAAGAACTTCACAAACTTCTCGAGAACACATAGATACATTATCAAAAATACTGTATATATGAATAAGAGATGCACAATGTTTCCATTCAATTATTGTCGAATGCTGCTGATCATGTAACATGAGTGGTAAGTCGTTTTTTTTTCTTTTTCTTTCTACTATAGTGTATTCGTCTTAACTCTTAAGCTATATTTTAACTAAGAAAATAAGATTCATTTTTTTCAAGAACACAAAAAAGTAAAGATATTAGTTTTGAGTTGAATTTCTTATAAACTATCCTTTGATATAATGCGTATTTTATTTCAATTATTACTAGGTTTTTCTTGATTTTTTGTAAATATGAAAATTATCTAATTAACTAATAGTAATTGCTATTTCTTTCCTTGAATAGCACAAATACGTAAAACATGATAGTCATAAATATACTCTTTATACATAGATCGAATTGGTAAGATAAAAACAATTTTCTTTTATGATACAAGATGTTAAAACAATATAAACAGTAGTAAGAGATAAAGTAAAGTAAAATATATTAGTACTGTACTTGTTTGTAGTACTACATTTATTTACTATTTACTGATTGATTATACAAAAAATGTATTGGATCTTAAGATTCAACGTCACCAATCAGAACAGAATAGTGTCCATAGATATTACCAAGTCTAAAATTTTCTTTTTATTACAAGAAAAGAAGATAGAATAATTTTTCATCAAATTAAGTGTCGGAGGACGTCGGCCATTAACTTTTAGCGGATAAATTGAATTTTACGTTTAGTAGCACAGGATAACGATTTCCTTAGATTTTCTTCTTCTTTATGCGTCTTATCACCGCGTATATTAAAAAAAAAAAAAACTATTTCAAGAGACTAAGAAATTAAACAGTACACATGTCG